ATCTGATGTGGCATAAACGTTGACTCATTGCTGACCATGTTGACTGAGCTGGTTCTAATAATTGTGATTTTTTTTTTTTCACTTTCTTTAAAGGAGATTAAACATTTTTTTTTTTTTTTTTTTGTACCGTATATTTTGAATTTTAAGGATAAATGAGACTTCAATATTTGAATTACTGTGCACTAGAGTTGTCAAGTCAAGTATATATACTTTCATAGTTTCTTTGATTAGTGGCTACCTGCCCATATAAAAAAGATATGGATTCAAGACGGGCTCACCTGTCCACGGTGGGCAGTCATGGACGGATTTACCATTGGCCTGGGCTGGGCTGAAGCCCAGGCCTGCTAAGTTTTTTTAACAACTATGAAACTTGTAAATATTTTTTATTCTATTGCTAGCCCACCCAATAAATCAATACACCAACCCACTAAAATAGCTCATCATAAGCCCAAACACTATTCTCTATTCTCTAATAAATTATTGTATGGGTTGCTCATCTATTCCACTAACCACAAATTACAAACACCACAATACACAAACACAAATAAAAAATTCACCTCGTCCATGCCCCTTTCTAAAGTCTCAACAACAGTTTTAGAACTGAACAACAAATTTAATTATTGTGGCCCCAACAAGTCCCTTGAAGACAATTTAATTTTTTTTAAGGGTAAGTTATATTTTTAAACCCTTTTTGAAACTTAGACATTTGTTCTATTTGTCTAAATGTATTTATTTATCTTTTTCATTTTAGTTGAGCTATTTATGGTTTTAATAGTAATTGCTATGATTATTATTATGTAATTTTTGTTTTGTTGATTGTGTATGGAGTAGTAATTATTATTATTATTATTTTTTTACATCTCTTATTATCTAGTGTGGTTGTATATCATATTTGAATTTAAATTTATGATGTGTAAGCATTTCATTTTGGTAATAACTATATCATTTTATTTTACTAATAATTATATCATATGGAAAATCAATTTATTAGTATTGTTAAGACAACGCTTCCTAATAAGATTTTGGATGGTTTTCTCTCTACGTTGGTTGATTCGTTTCATCGAACAGAAGTTTACTAATAGTAATAGTATAAGTATAGATTAATTTATTGATGAATTTTATTCTATAAAAGCTCGTCGAACACAGCTTCAGTAAATATTAAAAAAAAATATGTGACTTTTTTGAAAATGAGTATTTAAAATTTTAGCCCAGTCCACTCATAATTTCTGGATCCGTCCCT